TTTCCTTATTGGCGATTAGAATTACCTGATTATTTATGGTACATTTCCTCTTGTTCTTATTAGTGTTGTTCAAACCCATTCTTTTCTGTGGAAATCGGGGAGAAATAACAGAGAAACAGGATTCATTTTGTTTCAAATGTACATTACGAGTTCTGGATTTTTCGGCACACATGCGGAGTTCAGTTCTCAAATTTATTTCCATTGGGTGGATTAGGAAAAATCCATGGAAAAATCCGTGATTAGGAAAAATAAAAAGATCCGTGAAATCATCAGTTGGATTTTGCAGCAGTTTATAACGATGTTCTTCCATACAGATGATAACACATTTCTTGGATTTGCGGTGAAATTGCATCCAATTAAACAGAATATCAAGAAAGATACTGTTACATTAGTAAACATTTGATACTACTTTACCAATCAGTGTCCAGTTCAGAACGATATTTTGGATGCTACATATGATGGAGACTTTAATAGGCTTGCAATAAGCTTTAATAGGCTCGCATCCTTCATTTAAAATATAATCATATTTAAAAACTTCGGCTTGTCTCTAACAGTTAGGGTTTTTGACGTCACCAGGCGATCAGACTATATTCTAGGTTATGGTTCTTTGGACCGAGTGCATCTTGATTTGATGCATTGTAAATTATTGCATGTGGCATTTGTAGGTTTATGGTAAAACAGGCTATATGCAGAAAGATGCGAAACGACTTATAGAAACAGTGCAAAATTTATCAAGTGCACACAACAATTAGCGATAATTTGCCAGATTTCGACAACCTTGTAATCATAGAGTTTTGATAGGTCCCGAAATACAAGCCTTGATGAGAAAGGCGAAGATATACTTGAGCCTTGGATTTCCGTTTGAAGGCCTTGCGCCACTGGAAGCCATTATTGCAAGCGATGTTTTTATCAGTCCTTCATTCATTCAACCACGGAAAACATCCGTTTTTCCAAGGATAAACCGACTTTGTGCGAAGTAAATTTTTTTTCAAAATCATTCGGACATTCATAATTTTCATATTTGATTGAACTTCGGTAAGTCGGATGCTGATGTTGATGAAAAACAACACAGGTCGGATGCTGTTGTTGAATTGCAGTCATCTCTGATTATGGTCAGTATGACTTGCATTGTTTACCTGCGATACAAAATTTGATTACAAAGGGCTTCGGGACATATCAAGGTCCAAATGTATGGGGAAACATCACTGACAATGTTTTTTTTTTGTTCTTCCGTTTCATTTTATAAAAATCAAGTGTTCTGGAAATTCCAGCTAACGAGTCAAAATTTTTATGCGGAGCATTCCATTAGTAAGCTCGATGTATTTACTGTTGGCATTGAGAATTCGTAGCGAATGAAAGATGCAATATGGGAAACTTTGCTTTCAAAAGTTAATGCTCAGACCACGTTTCATGAATTTCTGCACGGAACTGATTTTCAGCTCCAGTTCAACTATTCATTTTAACATCTACGTTTGCTCCTTACACCAACACAAAACTCAAGCTGAAGTGTATTCTCTACATTCGCTAACAATCTAAGAATAAGAAATATATCATCGTCATTAATAAACCGTCGCCAAACTCCTTGCGCCCATATCAAGCAATACGAGGAAACTTCATCGTCAATTCCCTCTAACACTGGGGCAAAAATTTTTACATGATCATTGCAATCACTGTATGTAAGACATGATCTCCACACTTGACTATTGAAAATAGACTAGTCACGTCCAGAATAAGTTGTTTGCTACAAAGTTTTCACATGACTTTACTTTTCACAAGTTAGGACTTGAAAATGGTCATACAACTTCGAATGAGAACAGGATTGCAAAACAACATTTGATAAACGCGCACAGTTTGGATTTTATGACTCTGGTTGCTGTTGCCTTTCCCCTTAGCACAGCAAGCTAATATCCTTCTCTGCGTGCATTATCTTCCACATCATAATGTTATGAGAATGTAACGTATGGTTCTAAACAACAAACTGAAAGTGATTATAATACAGTTCCCTTTCAACTACCATGGTTTTTTTCACGCTCATATATCAGACGAATCGTTTGCATCTGTATGGTCCCAGTTCAAACTTACAATAGCCATTCGCATTGCAGCGCGAAAATTACGGAGACTTCGTTGGAAAAGCCTGAAAAAGCAAATTACCTTAAAATCTCTCAAGAAAGATTTTAACTATTTGAAATGTAACTAAGCTTCACGCCACAAGTAGAATCAAACAAATGGGAGAATACTAAATTGGAAAAGTAATAACGAGTGACTGATTACGTTTACAAAACAAAACTACATTCCATTCAATTCACAAATTTTGAACAAATGAAACTTACAACTGATCCAAACTGTTGACAAGTTTGGCCCGGGATGAATTCACAACAGTCCTTAAGACAGAAACATTACTAGCTATTATATAAGCTCAAAATAAAATTTAAAATGAAAGATTTGCCAAGAACCCAAACCTTGTTTCCAGCGATAAGAAATTTTGTACACTTTCCTCTAACGCAGTAACATCAATGGCAACTTGTGTGGTTTGCTTCAACGACATATTTTGCAAATGATCCAGTCGATCAATTAGATGGTCAAATGCATTTTGTACTATTGGACTAAGGATCTAAAATTAAACTACTTTTAAAAAGAAAATTGCAGAGAACACATTAATGTGATTCGCCTCAACTTTTTGCTGCAATGGGGAAAAACGTCCAGGAAGTAAAGAGTTAGGCCAAAGATCCATCTCACGAGAATCACTCACAGATTAAGAAGAGCAAAAAGTATCGACGACGAAGCTTGGTAGATTCATACCTTTAACACATGATTATCCAAAAAAATACGAAAGCTATGAACAAAAATTCCAGAACTCGATCAGTCAATTTGTCTGATTTTAGAAAATAATTACAGCCTAGCAAAAACCAAAAAGTCCTTAGATATAGAAGCAAAATTTTCAAATCACTTCCGGTTTTGAAAATCTTAAATTTCATCATCAATAAGATATGCCGTGCATATGCATCTCACATCACCATTTATGGACTAGAAGGATACCTCGCGCATGAGATGTGGAGCGAGTAAGCATATTTCTGATTGGATGAATATTAGATACATGACGAGCTCTTTTATGTAATCTGATGCCTCTGAAACAGTTGAAATGGAGATGAAAACTATGAAATTTATCCCTTATTAGATATCAGCTTCAAACAGAGAGTAGTTTGGCAGCAAACCAGTTTATTCAAATGCCAGCAGTTTGGTGAATAAGATAAGGCAAGGAATCATAACCAGAGGAAAAGTCGCAGCTATTTCATTCATTCCATTCGCATGAAAGGGCTTATCTATCATTTTTGGATTTGAGGAACTGATTAGCTATGCACAGAATGAAACTGAATGCCACCTTCATTCGGTAGATCATCATAATTAGCCGATCCAAACATAGAACTAAACGTAGCACATTTTATTTGCAAGTAATATTTCATCAAGTTCTGTCGAAACAATAATAATTGTCCTTTGCTTTTCTGAAACTTTTTAAAACTTTCCTTTAAATCCTAATTATGAAGAAAATAAGAGAAAGAAAATCTGAACAAGACTCTTTCACATTCCCAAAATAGGGAAGCAGTCCAAGCTTTTCAAATGAAGAGGCCAGTGATAGTTATATCCTTTAACTTTCCTATGATCTGCATGGAAAAGTTCCAACAGAAACTCACTTCGAATATGATATCACCATATTTGACACCATTCTCAGCTAAGCGACGACACAATGCGGGCAAAGAATTAGCGAGTATATACTCAATGTTACATATAGCAATGAGCAGCTTTCGGCTGCTAGCAGTTCCTTCATTGAATAAAGCTGATGGACGCTTTACACAACCTCTACATATTTTGCAAAAAATTATTGTTTCATGAAATTTTCGAAAGAATTTCTCCGTTAATTGAAATCGCTCCAACTCATTATCACAAGCACTTGGTTAGCAACGCATCACACTTTTTGTTGACTTAATAATTAGTTTTTGAGTTTTGAATCCAAATAGTTCGGAAACTAAACTTCTGAAAAAAATATGGTCTATTTTTTCAGATATGTGGAACGTGAATTGCTCATTTTAAAATCGCCGTTAAAACTCATCGAATTTTGTAATATTTTGTTGTCACATTAAAGTTAGTATACCTCAACTGTAGAACATTCTCTATACAATCACGAACTGAAGTGAGAATCATCGTAAACAAATCAACCAACATCGAACGAAACCGTTCCCTGCTGAACAAATCCAGTTCACCAGGGTAATTTGATGATGAAAGTATTTGTCGTATTTGTCCCATGCTATCATTCACCTAAAAAAAGTTACTGCAAAAATTATTTTCGAACAAAGTAATTTCAACCCAATTTAAAGAATCCTATGATGCAACATCGTTAATCAGAATCATTTTCAAAGTAAAATACTTTCAATATTCCAAATTCCTGATAATTTATTCGAAACTGATGACAGTGATCAACTGCACTTAAATGTCAAGTCTCGATTAAGAAATGAAACTAGATAGAAAATAATCATTGCGCCTTAGTTTTCTGCAGGGAAACTAATGTATGACCTCGGTTTCATACAGATCTGGTAAAATAGTTTTCGACAAACCCGTACATTCCAGTTTCCATATTTCTCCATTTGCTGAGTTAATTACTCCTGAAATAACAGAGTACAGACTCGAATTGCTTTAAAAAAATTTTTCTGAGCATCACAAGAGCAACTGGGTTTATTACTTGTATTACTCTAAGTGTTGCATTTATTTGCTTTAAGGTTGTTGAAATGAGAGTATGGGAACATAAAAGACGGTTTTGACACCTGCAAGAAGGGTAATCTCAGTAAACGATACAAAGCTAAGGAAAAAACTGATCTATTTCAGATTATTGGCTATCCCTCAGCAAGGAGGGATGAATTCGAATATAATGATTTTAATATAATGATAACTACTCAAGTTAAAAGATTTTTGGCAGCGCTTACCCTGAGTAACTCTTTCAATTACTTTTGATAAACATTTTAATCGAATGGTAACACAAAGCTCCAACAGTGGCTGCAGCTGCTCCGAGGTAAAATTACAATCTAGCATGAAACTTACACATGACCTAAAAAGGACAACTGTAAGCATAGCTGGATGATCCTATACATAAATGACCTATTAGAATTGCTGGAATCAGCAGTATAAGCTGTTGTACCTAATTTTGAATTTCAAACAGATGTTCTTGATATATTTTGAATTATTCCATCGAGTATGTTTAGTCTGTTAAACTCTAAAGTTTATTCAGCTTACTACTACTAAAAAACACTTATACTTAAAATATTATCGTTTGACTACATTTTTTTCCTTCCGAACATGAACAAACACAATATTAAGAATTCCCGACCAGTCTGCAGTTCATTACGCACATTGCTTTCATCGTTAGCACCCACAAGAAAAAGTTCAAGTTAAAATTTGTGGAAGCTTGCTGAAATATTTATTAATTTGTCACCACAAGTGGAAAAACTGGAGACGAATGTTTAGTGTGTTGAACTCTGAAGTTTATTCAGCTTATTACAACTAAAAAAGTATCCACTTACCTCAAAACTTTTAATGATGAAAATAACTGATGCGTGAGAGGCGATGAAGTGATAAGTGGCCATTTCGCGAACTGTTCGCTGTATTTTTGTAAAACTGATTCAGGTAAGGCATCAGGTACTAATGCATTCAGTATCAGCCAAGACGAAACATTGATTGTATTTATGAGCATTTGCTGAAAATATCCGGATGAATTAATGAAACAGCTACTTGCGAACTGATAACATTTTATTAAACGATCAATGTTAATGCTTATGGAAATTTTCGGGTGTTCATTGACAAAAGAGAGAACGTGATGAGGCCTGGAATAACAACAAGCTACTTGATGTTTGATGTGGATAAGTCGTTTGAAGTATTCAGCTGCAAGGAATCCTGAGGAAATATATGAATGATTAGAGGTATGTTTCTTCCAAACGAAAATTAAATTAAGGAAATCGAAGCAGACTTTGAAATTTACGAGGTTTTCAAAAACCAACGAAATAAAAACAGCCATTTTTCTCTCGTTTTCAAAGAATTTAAACTAACATTAATATCGCATAAACGATCCACCGATGTTAGATTTGTAACTGATGAAGAGTATATTTGCGAAAGCTTCCAGAATGTTTGTAATTTGTCGGTAATAAGATCAACCATTTCTTGAACAAAATCGTGAAGGTTATGCGAGTTTTCTTCAACTACTGTAAAAGCAATAATGTGTAAGAAATAAAAAAGTATCAGGAGGAAATCCGCCAGAATTTTTTAATATTTGCTGGTATAATTAATGCAGTACAAATGTGGATAGTAATAACCAGAGAAAATTAAAGCCATTAATCTAAAAAATTTCCACTTCCGAGATCCTGTCATATTGAATGAGATCTTCGTCAAGACAAGAGAGTATAAAGAAAAAAGATATAATCCGATAACACCACCCCCTAGCATTTGCAGTTTCAAGAATATCCCAATTTTCTCGAAACGGCCCTTAAATTTTCTCGGACGAATTAAATCAAATCTTGAAAATGCAGGACTAGACAATATAATAAACGCTAGGTAAAGCACATCTATCAACAATGATATTAAACAGACTACAAATCCTACGGTTTTGCGCAGTTTTTTGCCTCGTGATAAAAAGTATATAGGAATGAATAAAGCATATATCTTCGAGAATATAAAATCAAACAAATAGAAATACTGTAAAGCTGCTTACATAAGAATATACCCGACGAATCTTTCTTACTGTTGACCTGGCCAAGTGCTGTAAAATCAAATATTATCAAAAGAAATAGTAAATCTTGAAAAATTCGGTTTTTAATATTTCAAAAAATTCGGTTTTCAATACCTAAATTCAGATGCTTTCTTTGCGTTTGCCACAAAAGATCTTCTAACCAACAATGATACGCTGTAATGCAGTCCCATGCTGGATCTGAATTCGGTTCAAGAACCTACAAATGCAATTCCGATCAGAGTATCGAAATAGGCAACCAACTATAAACATTTCACCTGCACTATTTTGGGTTTAGTAAATCTCCCTTTTTCGTAAAATGTTATGGTCACTTAACAAAGCCAAGTCATGTATTAACAATCATGCAGAAGAGAAAAGAGAAATAATGTCATTACTTTCAGATATTTGATTAGTTTACTTTGATCTTCAAATGAAGTAGGCATATCGATCAAACGCTGCTTCATATTTCTCTTAAATATTTCCATTTTCTGATCCAAGTTAGCCATCACTGGAAATTATTCTTGAACTAGTTGTATTACTCAACAAAAACTCTACTTTCAGAAGTGACAAATTAATTAAACGCGAAAGAGCTTACCCTCCTTAAACAGTGACACTTCAGTATCCTTGAAGAGTGACTTCGCACGAGTATAATCATTCAGAATGGTTGAATATTCACCCTGGAATTAATGCACTAAAAATCATGAGGTGTTTTTACTTGAATAAGCACAGTTTAGCATGGCGTCTGCACAACATGATTCAATTTTATGCCTTGCTGGAAGAGATATAAGCAGGCTGTAAATTTTAGAATTTTGGAATTTGACCCGAAATTGAAGCAGTATGAGAGATTTTGAGAAAAGCACTGATCACTTTTGATAAATTTTGATCGATAGCACTGGAGAGGAAAAAAATGAATCGGAAACGAGTAAGCACTGATAAGGCATTTCGTGTAGCATCCGCTCGATCTTTCCTTGTTAAAACCTCATGGAATACTGCATTTGCTGCTGTGTATGATTTAGCCAGCTGAAATTTGTTCCACAAAAATTCATACTAGTAATGAAAAGTCATAAAAAAAGGATTACCTGAGTTACAGTTCGATGCTTAATATTATCTATAAACCATCAAAACTTTGTATTTCAAAACAAGGTCGAAAACAACATATTGTGAACCTTCTCAGAAATATTTTTTGTGAGCGGCCAACCACGAGCATGTTTCTCCAGCTGCATGTTATCATGAAGTGTTGCCAGTGTATCAACGCAGTTAATCAGTGAGTACAGATTAGCACGATGCAAATCAGAACTGCTTTTTTCACCCTCTTTAGTGCTTTGTGTTAAATACATTAATCCTTCTCTGAGGTCGGAAAGTCTGTAAAACAATAAACGCCTTGCGTAAGTGGTGATGCACTTGACCCTCCGGAAACATTTGAAGAGAAATGTCTGATCTATTTTTTCCCAAATATTTGGAAAATATCCGTATATAGCACTCCTTAACATGGGTTCTAACAAATCATGTAGTTCAAATATTGACTGAGTTCCCGATTTTTTCTTTTTGAAGTTTTAACAATTTTTGAAGTTCAGATAATTTTCAAAACCTACTTAGTTCCACGATGATTTTCGAGCAAGTACCAAGCTGCGTTGAAATTTTCCATTCGAAGGTTGCCTGAGCCTTCCGGAAACATTTGCATTAGAGATATCTGGTCCATTTTTTTATACCTGGAAAAAAAGTAACATTTATCCAAAATAAATATATTGACTTATGAAACTCTCCAAGTAATATAAATACAGAACGCTTGAAAACCCCCAAAACACTACAATAATTTCGTCGAAAAAAAAACATAGAAACCACTGCTTATCAGCAGGCAGAATCGGAGAACTCACGGTTCGACCGTCAATCCTAATGCATCCAGTGCAACTGTTGTTTCGGGAACATTACGGACAACTTCACGACCAGGAACCGTTCTTGTTTCATCCACCCAAACAGCACTTTCCTCTAACGGACCAACCTGCACGATAAAAACACGAAATGTGACATTTGAGGTACTTTTTCCCATTGATTTTGTTAGAAGGACTACCTCTCCGACACCACGTTTTGCTTGCCCAATACCTGAAAAGTATACCATTCATATTATTTACTGAGTTATAAAAATCAGAGTTTATGATTGATAACCACTAACACTACAAAAGGTTCCCGCTATGGAATCATTAACTGTTTTAAGCTAATCAAGCTAAGAATAAGATTACTGGAAATTTGAGCCCAGGAATCAATATCAGATATTTTGCAACTAGAAGCTTGGAGCCAGATTATCACTTATGGTTATGATCAGCAAATTTTTACTCTAAATAATCAAAAAGATTGAAATTTTCATGATTTTCGCTGATATTCGTAAATTATAGTTACGTGCTATAATCAGAGAGGACGATTTCCACTTCGCCGACATTAAGCAGTCAGTTCCACAGATGGATAAAGCAATCATATCCGACTGACTCCTCCCAAGATTCTCGCCACGAATTTTAATTTGTGTCCCTGGAACTCCTTCTTTAGGTGACAAACCAGTAATTAGTGGCCGAAGAGAAACATCAGTGACGGGATGACCGGCATTTTCAGCCATCCTGAAACTCAGTCACTTTCAATCCATCAGTTCCTACTTATTACCCAAATATCTCGTAGCATACAAAATCAGCTTTGATAATAAATATCTCGCTGATCTACTTTTTTCCTTTTCTTTTTTTATAGAAATTCAAAACCTTTCAACACTATGTTACGAAGTTAATTAAAACCAGTTCGTAATTTAAACCATTACTTCATTCATAAAGGCATTACTTTTTACTTCCCTGTCTAACCAAAATGAATGAATCTACGTATATATTTTGCTCTTGTTTAGTTCGTCGCAAAACTTACCGTATTTGCTAACGCTTTTATTTTTAAAATTCCAAAATCTACTCAGAAACTACTCCAGGAGAATTGGAAAAAAGAATTTAATTTACTAAATGGTATCCGACATTTGCAACTGAAACCATTCCAAAATCTGCATAACTTACAACAACAACTCTCACCAAACTCTCCGTACACGTCACTACGGAAACGAGTCGCAGGATTTAATAGTTTCATAAAATTGGCACCGGTGTCATAACCAGAGTGCAAGGTTGGGGTGCGGCGAGCTTCGAGTTGGGGAGGAAGGTTGGATGGGTGTACATGGGTGGGGGTGTAGGTTTTGTCTTACTCATATGTGAACCTGAGTTCATCGCTATGGCGAGTTTAGATAGTTACACAATAATAAATGCTTTGCTAGTCTGATCTTTCAAACACTTACATGGTTTTTTTTCTTTTTTGTGGGATTTGTTGATTATTACAGTGCTGCACAGTCATTTCCGCCTCTTTTAGATTTCTAGAAATTATAGTGGCTAAGGTAAGCTTTTCAGGATGCAAGGGACTTTGGGAAGCTGAGTAACACAGAATAAGATAGAGAGAAAAAGCGATGAACAATCGTGATGATCTGATTGAGGCATTCATGAACGAAACACGCACCACGCATAACACTACAACAGTTGCTTTTTGTGAAGGTATCGTTACATTTTATTGTTTGGAGGAAATTTCGCTCATATAATTGTCATTTTTCTTTCCATTTTCCATACCTCTCTACCTAGTAAGTGAAGCAGACCTTTCTTTCCTCCTTACCCCAACTCGTTACTTTTTCTCTATGCCCGTAGCTAAGCAGTGCTAACTAACGGTTTTGATATGGTTGCTCAGTTTTAAGCGTAGAGATATGCTTGGGATAGAATATTCTTCCTGGTACGATATGTAAATGTTAATAAAATCTTGTTCGTTGCTGTCTCAAATACTGATGGTTTTGTTGGCATTTTTTGTTTTATACAATTCCTCACTACGCCTTGTACTCTTGTTCACGTTTTCTCAGTAGATTGTTTTAGGACAGCACTGGGATTATGACAAATCACTGCAGTATTACTACGACTGGGGAAAGAATGAAGGTACAATGTCGCAAATTTATACTTCTAATTCTTCTGACATGTAATGATACTCGAACTAGGACTTTGTTTTTAGTCTAGTCTTAAAAAACGGAATTAAAATTTTCAGTGAAGATTACTCCGAAGTATTTGCAGATAAAGTAGATGACTCGGATGTGGAGGAGAGCAGAGAGTATGAGGAGACCCTGTGTTGGCCATTTTACGCCTTTGTGCTACCAGATTTGTTTGAACAGCCAGCTGATTTTAGAAATTATTTAGAAAAAGATCTGATTGAAACAGCGACTCTTAAACGGCTTGAAAATTCTGGTTAGCTTTGCAAAATAGTACTGGTAGAAGTTCCGCTTCCGGATTTCCTTTCAATGAATATAGATGGAAGATACCCATTTGTTCTTGTTGTAAATCGTTGTAACATTTGTAAATCCTCTAAATTTTATTGAATTTTCCAACATCATTTTTCAAGAAATATGTTGAAATTACTTTTCTTGAGATATCTGTTTTTCAAGAAAAGAAAAACCTTAAGGCCATTTGAATTGGTGGTGTTGGAATGGTAGCGGACAGCGCATGTGGCCTTTGAGTACCACCGGTGATGGTAATTGTCTTCTGCACGCAGCATCACTTGGTATGTGGGGTATCCACGATAGACAGCTGATGTTGCGGAAGATTTTATATGAGATGCTGACAAGGTTCATTTTAAAGTGTTTGTTTAGTTTATCTGCGATGCAACGCTTCTTCTTTGACTAGATTGCACATTGGATGCATTTGTGAGCCTTCTTATAAATTACTAAGTAGTTCGGCTTTTCTTCGTTGATTACAATCTTCTTATGTCGAACTCAAAAGATATTGATTTTTATTTCGAATTTAAAAATCCCCATTCAAACGAATAAAGATATTTTCTTTCCAGAGGAAGTAGACGCCATATACTTTGGCGGCGTTGGCGTTGGGCGGAAAGTCAATCAAATTTGCAGTCAGGCCTTGTTTTAACGGATGAAGAATGGCAGCGTGAATGGGACAATGTTCTGCACATGGCTGCAGCAGTTCCGAGAACTTTTACTACTTCGTATTGTTTAGACCATATTTTTAAAAAGTTAGGAAATTGTTTTTTTAAGTTTCATGGTGTTTTCATCTTTTAAACATGGAAGTGAGCTTTCAGGGAAAATAATGAACCTGACAAGAGTGAAGGTGCTGAACAAGTTTATGAAAGTCTGGAGTCCATTCATGTCTTTGCACTTGCTCATATTCTCAAGCGTCCAATTATTGGTATAGTTATAAGAATTTTCCATTGAATATCTTTATTTCCTTAACTTTCTCAAACTTTCGATTTTTCTGAATTTTAGACTTTTCGGTTTCTTAAAATTTTATGTATGAATGTGTTTCCAGTTGTGTCGGATACTGTACTTCGGAATGCTGTCGGTGAAGAACTTTCTCCCATTCCATTTGGTGGAATTTATTTACCTCTGGAATGTCCTTCAAATCAGTGCCATCGTTCACCACTTGTTCTTTGTTATGATTCGGCTCATTTTTCAGCTCTAGTTACAATGCGTCACACAACATCAAATTCTCTGCAGTGTAATTTTCTTCGATCCCTGTTATGGATTAAAAAATGAGAAACGAAAAGATTCAGTTACATCCTTAGCAAATAGAAATCTTTATCATCACCGTAAATATCAAAAAAAGAACTGTTACAATGTCACGAACTTCAAATTGAGATTTATCACATCAAACGAAATGATTGTTAATCCTGCATCAGCATCATGGCTGGTACAATAAAAATGTGGATGATTTTACTTTTGCTTCAAGTAGAGAAATTGGTTGTATTTGTAAAGCACAAGTTTTCGCGTTTTCAGCCATCATTCCAGTCACCGATAGGAACCATATTCTGCTTCCTTTGCATTTTTCCGTTGACCCAGGACCAGACTTCACTTGGTTTGTTTTTGCTTTAACTCCCTAATTTATTAGACAAAATTGTACTTTATTGCGTTTTTTGTGGCATTGATGTAGATTTGGTTTTAACTTTGACGCTACCGTCCTTTTAATTATGTGTTATTCTGCGACTATTTTTTGCGACGAAATTTATGGATTTCAGGTGGAAAGATTCGGAAGATGCCGAAATAGCGGAAAGGATCGAACTAAATGAAGCTGATAAACTTTCACTTATCTGTGAATATATGGATATTGTCAAGATTCCAGTAAGAGCTGAAATGGCTGAATTGTTGGATGTCACTTTTAAAACTTATAAAGTTTTTAGTTCCTTTTTAATTGCCTTACAAATTCGATTTAGGTTCGCCGATACTCATTTCGTCATAACTTGACTGGGACCGGATTGGTAAGCGGTGAGGAAGGGAGAAAGTCAATGACATTATCGTGTGGTGATGCCTTCGTTACTAAAGATCACTCCGCGAGGTTATTAAGTGAAATAGCTCAACAAATCAAAAAACGGCTGAAAATAGGACGCAAAAAAAAGGTTTCAAAGTGTTTCATACTGGAATGTACTCAAAAAATCCACTTTTTGTTCGTTTATATCTGCATGAGCCTTAAGAGTTTATAAATCTACAGAACAAACCTATAAAGTCTGACTTTGTAAATCCTTTGAATCTCAATCTTCTTCATTAGCAATGACCCACTTTCTGTTCATTTTTGAATTTAAAATCCATATTTCTTTTCAATTGTACATACATTTTTGATGTAATGCGAAACATAAGGAGATTTCCTCACACGCATCATTGCATGGAACATATGTGAATATTGAAAGCGTCTTCAGAATCAGCTGGTTGATGCAGAACCGGTTACAATATCAGATTTGCGATGTGTAAATCTTGTTGTAGCTGCGCGGTTACATTCTCATGCTCATCAATACATGAAACATATGGTGGATAATTATTTATGTTTAGCGAAGGAACGTTTTGAACAATTGAAAAATGTTAGTTATTTTCGTACTATTGCTTTTTATACGTAGGTGCAGAAAAATTCCAAATCTAACTTCTGCTTTTCTTTTTTCTTTTTATTAGTGAGCAAATGAGATAATTTCTTTTTTCCCCATATGAATCTTTTTTATTTGCATCAGAAAGAATCGCTCCCCTGACAATATTTTCTTGCTTCGAGTTTTTAACAATTTGCTGAGCTATCATGAATGGGTATAAAGTGAACATAACTGGTACGTTTCGAATTTTTACAGGCTCCTGAAACGATCTCGCGCCAGCGTGCCGGATTATCGCATTCTTTCAGTACTTCATCATTACTGGTAACTTGTATCAATAAACAATGCCAGAAGGTATACCTGTATTTTATATTCCCTACTCTAAACAGATTTTAACTTTTCGAATATTTCTGGGTCACTAAGAGCAGCTGAAAATCGTGTAATTCAGTTTACCATTGTGTAACATGTTAATATTAAGATTAGGATGTGCATTAGCATCTGAATAAACTCATAGTTCAATTGAACCATTGCGTTTATTACTCCCCAATGGCGTTATCAGTCGTTTGCACGTTTAATGTTAATCAGCCTATACACCGTGTTTTATTACATGAAGCTTGCGAAGTATATCTCTGCTTCACGTTGTTCAAAGCTTTTGGTATTCAGACTAAATTCAAAACGAAAGTTTATGGAAGGAACTGTTTTTTATACATTGAATCTGGTGGAACAATATTTACAGAAAGCGAAAAGCAGAAGATTTGTAGCATTAAGACTGTAGCACGAGTGTAAAACCAGAAAATCAACTTTGGTTTATTAGGAGTTGGGATGAGCGTGAAATTCTATCAATCACATAATATCAGAATTGCAGAACGCTTCGCAGTCAACGAACTTTTTATGCAATGATTGCTTTGAATACCAAAAGCAATTGATGGCCTCGTTCGGGTCTGTATTTTGCCTTTATTTTTCAGTTTTTAGATATTTCTTAAAGGGCATTTAACGAGTGTTTTTGAAGGATCTTTGTCCCTTTTAAAGTTTTTGATATTTTTGATGTAGTGTTCTTATAGCTGGGTTCCCAGCTTTTTTTATTTGAGAACTCAGTTTAGTCTAGATTATGCGTTGCCGATAAAAGAAGCTTCCACCTGAAACCTTTTGCAGTACCTTTCTAATTTCAGATGTTCACAACCGGGACATTTGCGCTCTCTTCGCTCGTGCCTTCGAACCACCTTGCAAAACCCATCAGATTTATCATCCCGAACAGGTGGTTCCATTAAATCCAGTACAATGCCGTCCATTATGATATCATCAAAAACTGCTTCTTATACAGACAGTAAAGAATTGAGGAATGCTGGAGATACATCGGGTCATACTTCAGATCCTGTATCTATTCCAGTTAGAGCTGGTGGCGGTATGCAAGCATTGCAATCTCATTCTCCTCGCTCTGAACATACAGCTGCTGGTTGTGAAGGAATTGTTCATACGGTAGCTGTTCATTACACACATACTCCAGCCGAAGATATTACTACCAAGTTTGTTCTTCTTCCGTTCATATTTAGAACAACAGCTTCCTCATTGAAATCTTACCGAGCGGAGCTGTTTTCAATTTTTACGTTTTAAACCGCCTTATAAATTTATATGACGTTTTTGGTGAACAGTTGAAATGTTTTTTTCCTCTGAAAATTAAACGTGATTCAGTAAAATATCCTTGTTTTCAACCATAATAATCTTTCGGTTACCGAGATTATAAGTTTTGTACAGCCATTTTACAAATATGTTTGCCAGTAAGTTGTTCATCTGCATGCCACACATCGGTTCCCTCATAATACGACATTGCCTTACCGTTGCCACTCACATAAAACGGTGGATTAGATTGAGTTTTTTGGGACATCAGTACTGTTTGATCGAAATTAATCATGCTTTGCTCATTTTTCGTTATTTCTTTGAATATTTATTTGCTAATTTTCAGAGTTGCATCCATAGAAGGAGCAAATGGAGTAACTCATTACTATATTTCACAGTAAACAAGCAGTGCTTATCTTCATTTGATATTCAGTTCTGAGATTAGTGTCTGTTACTTGTTCAAGCTAACTCGGATAGAACCTGTTTATTTGTTTTTTGCTTCACTCTCTGAAGCTATTTTTATCCTGCGTCTTTTTCACTTATATCTCTCTTTTCAATCAATAATAAATTGTACCTACATGATTTTATGACTGAGGTCTGATTTACGGTGCCAAAATATCTTTTCGAAAATTCCTTGGAACATAGTTTTGATAAATTGGTTACTGAGTTTGCCGATTTCACATCTAATATATATATAAATGTATATATATATATATATATATATATATATATATATATATATATATATATA